TTTGTTTAGTTTTCAAAGGTGTTTCTGTGAACAGAGATGTTTTCCTGCCTCTGGGAGCCCCCCCCCCCCCCTGATAAACTATGTGAGCAATTTGAAAAAAATTAAAAGTTATCATCACATATGATTTTGTTTTCAAAAAAGGTGCTACGGTGGTGCTGCAGTCAGAGATTGTGACTTGGGGCTCAAAATCTGGTTAACATGTGGAGGGATCAGCCATCACACCGACCCTTCCCCCCCTTTCTCCCCCCCCCACCCCCCTAAATGACAGCTAATATCTGATGATCTTGCAGCTGTGCCCTGATGAATGATGATTTACCATCCTTGAACTCCCTCGGCTACATCTTTTATTTACACCTATGATACAGCTGGGTGCTATCCTTGAATACCTCCCCCCCCACCCAAATCACCCACAACACGTTCAGCTCCGCCTATGGGATGGTTATTTTTCAACGTTCTGACTGTTTTTGCGTGAATTCGTTTTTTGTTACGAATGTGCACTTCAACATACTTGTGTTTTCATAACCCACCTTACTACTTGCTATTTTTACCATTTATTTTGACCTAATGATTTTCTTGGTAAGCCAAATTTTTTGTTTTCACTCTATTTTATTGCATAGCCGAATGGCATTTTTTACTTTGTTTTTACTGCACTTTGGCACGGTGTACATCTCTGTGTACATCTTTGTGTACATTTACAATATATTTAAAATTATGAAGTGTACATTTTAAGAATTTGTATAGTTTTGAAAAATATAAATTTATTGGAGCATTTAGATTCAAATAACCATTGGTGTCAGGGGTTCCCAAACTTTTGTTCTATGATCACCGGGGATTTAAAAATATGACATTAGAAAGAAGAAAAAAAATAATAAAGTGCTTCTGCATGAAGTCTTGGCCTTAAAACTTCAATTTTTTTACATTTTTTTTAATGCTTTTACTTTTAAATGTCATGGAATATTTTACTTATGACATAATTGTGTATAGTTGATAATAGTTGATATATTAATATTTATTATTATAACAGTTGATATATTAATTTTTATTGTAAGACAGTAGATGTAGGAATGTCGATTCCTCACTTCAGATGTCTGGGGTATGGCATAGGAAATGTTCAGTTATAGTAGTGCCTTTAAGGATTGGCTTGATATCAATTGTCCCAAGACTAAAACCTGTGGTGTATCAAGGCCAGGTACATGATCAGGTGTATCAGGGCCGGGTAGACAGATGATCAGGTGTACAATTGTATGTTCAACTTGTGTTCAACTTGTGTTAAACTGTTAATGGGTTATTATAGCGATCATTTCATCACTGCGTTATGCCACCCTTCTATGTATCCTGCTCGTGTGAACAAATTTTGTACCATCAAAGCTGGTCGTCTCCACATAAAAGTTCATATTTGTACATCTCTTCTTTTTTTTCTTTTTTTTTTATCTAATAATGAATGAAGCATTGTGTAGCTCAAATTTTACCACTTATCCCTTGTAAAATGGTTACATATAAGTGAACATATGCCAGTGCCGACATACAATGATTGTACTTTCACTACACACACATTAATTTCCTTTGTTATGTTTATATAATTGTAATGACATCACAACTAATAATCCCAGATCTTGTCCTTGTTGTTTCAATGATTTTTATGATTTCCTAGACTACTAGTACATATATATATATATTTGTTTATTAAAATTCATCTTGTTTTAATAGTTTCAGATTTATTTAACTCATTTCATTAATTTTTATAGAAAACACGAAGTGAACAAAGAAGATATTTTTAAAAAAATAATTGTGATTTTCTGCAGCCATATTGTCATTTCCTGTAGCCATTTTGTCACTTCTTGTGGTATAGCCAACCATTTCTATGCATATATCTATCAATACTGACTTACATGTAATGGTGGTGTTGTTTTTTTACAGTCGCAAGAGTTACTGGAGTTACCCCAGTTACCATACTCACAATTGTTACCTTAGCTACAATCATTACTTTAGTTACCATAGTTACAATTGTTACCTCAGTTACCATAGTTACAACTGTCCATAGATAGAAGTAAGTATGCGTTTTTGTTGTTGTTTTTTTTAAGTCTGAAATGGTTCAGTCCTGCTCAAAGCATTAGTCCTGTTCTAGTATCATTCAATGGTTAATGTCATGTTTTACTGAAAATCATTATCATAAATAAATACTGAAAATCATTATCATAAATAAATATGAGTTTTTCTTCATCGTATCAGTAACAGTAACTGGGCTCCTTGAAGGTATCGATTTTTTAAATAATTCTATCTTATCTTTATTCTGAAACATGTACATTATCATCCTTGGCCTTTGACCTTTGACACCCTGAGCCCAACTTCATTACGCAGGTTGTGCTCTATGAATATATTTGTTTGTTAATGATGACTTCAACTGTCAGTGCATTTTTTTTTGTGTCAAGCAACCTACTACGGTGGTCAGCAGAAGCCATTTTTATATTATATTTTATGTCTTGTCCAACACACGCTTCCTTGATGTTTTCATTTCACCACGATAGTTACTGGAATGTGACATCTACAAGTGACAGCTGTCAGTACCGGGATGTGGCATGCACACGTGACAACTCTTCGTACTTTTGGATGTGACAGGGACAAGGGATTATTTGTCAGTACTGGGCTTACTGGGACTGTGACAGGTACACGTGACACCTGTCGGTGGTCGGATGTGACATGTGCACGTGTCAACTGGGACTGTGACAGGTACATGTGACAACTGCCGGTACTGCGAATTGACAGGCACGTGTGACAACCCGCGTATGGCGCTGTGACAGGTAGAGATATGTCACTGAGACAAGTCCAAGACTGTATATTATTTGTATAGATTTATAGCTTCTAGGCAGTAAATGACTCTACTATGGTGATTTATTTATTGAAATATATGCAAGAGAAAACAAAAAAACATCAATAAATATCATGATCTGAAATTAGCCCAATGTCTTGTCTGTTTTATTGTGTGTGATATCTCTATGCGTTTG